TTGGGACCATTGCTTTTAACCCTGATACCATGATCAATTTTATATGAAAGAAAATTATCTAAATAATTAACCATTGATTCAGGTGAAATTAGACTTAAATTTCTTAAATAAGCTCCTATATAGTTAGTCCAGATTTCTAACAAAAACTAGTCACCAATAAAATTATTGAATATATTTTGCACCTGTAACTAATAAAAAAGAGTATAAAAAATTGAGATAATGGTATTTAGTTTTAATTTTAATAATATATTTGCTGTTGTTAGGTCGTCAATGTTAGTGTTCTTATGAGAATATATTCTTTGTTGCTGCATGTTTGGCAGTGTTTGAAACTCCATAAATGTGTCTCCAAAGTGAGTAAACCAAGATTCTAAAAAAAACTGTGTTTAGTTGGATGAAGCTAAAATTAACTTTGGTATTAAAAGTATGCTTCAATAAAATAAAATAACCTTAGCATTAAGTTAAAAAAATTTATATTATATTTCATTGTTAACTTCAAATTTAATTTTCTATAAAATTCATTTTACAAAATTAGCATCATTCAAAATTATTTACAAATATTCATTCAAAGACACTAGTAAAAATATTTCTCATACAAGCAAACTAGTAAACATGGATAAAAAATTAAACTCGTAATATATTTTCAAATATCACGTGTTAGTTTTTATTAATTAAATTATTTTATATAATTTTGTATAATGATTATAACAAATTTGTTTCTTTCAGATTATATAATGTTGGATTAATATGTTTACATACTGTTCCCTCGTACTTCTTATATATATGATAAAAAAAGTTAAGGAGATATTCAAATTTTATTATTTTTCAAATTCTTTTACCATATATACAATTAATGTGCAAGGGGAGAAGTAGGAAGATTTAAAATTATTTTTTAAAATAAAATATTAATTTAATAAATGTATTTTGTTCCTGTTTGGATAATTTTTTATTAACATTTATAAGAGAACGAAAAAAAAAATCCCATTGACTTGGTTTATGTATTAATTAATAATTAACTAGTAGATAAAGTAATATGATAAAACATGAATTAACTTAGGTGTATAATCTAATTTTTAGTTCATAGAAGTCTAGGAAAAAAAAAGGCACTTATGCACTTCTGTATTTTTTAAATCAAAGATAAAATAATGAAGTAAATGGCTTAAGTAGTGGGTGGAAGTAAGAATAATTGTTGTTGAGAAGTTGTGTGTATAAGTAAGAAGAAGAAAAAAAGTTGTACCCAAAGTGTAAGAAAAAATGAGAGAATTAATATATTTGTAATATAATTTAACAGTAACGGTCTCAATATAGTGGAGACTAAAAAGTATTTGAGTGTAAATATATACCTTTGTCTATTGGTATAAATATAAATATAAATTTCATTTTTTATTTTCTTTTTTCATAAACATTTGTATAAAATTTAACCAATTACAAACTCTAAAAATAATTTTATAAAATAAGATGAATTAATAAAGATTTACTTATTGTTGTTACCATAAATTGTAGATGCTTAACCCCAAGCGTGTGGTTCAGCGGTAGGGGTTGATCCACGCTTAAGCAAGGTTAGGAGTTCGAATCCTGCCTTGTGTATGCAGCCGTGTTAAATCTTGGGGCCAGCTATCCCACCCTTTGAGGTGCCTCCAACGTAGCGAGGAGATTAGTCACTGCTGTCGGCGGTGGATACTCCAGGAACGAACCTAAAAAAAAAAATTGTAGATGCTTTGACGAGAGAGTTGATGTTCTCTATATTCCGATTATTGATGGTGAGAGTACCTGTAATGATACTTTGACATTTAAGTTAGAGGAGAATCTAGGATAAGAATATAATTAAGGTTAAATGATACATGGTGCCCCATAAATAAGTGTTTGATCTTATATTTAAGTTAAGAGATATAATTGCATGATTTCTAGATATATCAGCAAAGATTTTGTTCTTAATAATGTGATCTCAAGATTTTGAGAAATATGTGGTGCACATATGCCTTCATAACTATCTGGGTTGAGCCTTCTAGAATTTTTCCTTCCAAATCCTATATGGGCAAATTGGTGTTCTACTCAGCCTGTCCTAGCTAGACACGAGATCAACTTGATTTGAGGACGGTACACTCATCTTTTAGAATATTATTTTTATGTATATTTGAATCAGGAAAATGAAGAAGTGTAAAGATAAAATAATGGAGAGAGTTTAGTAATACGATTTTTTATTATTTAATATTTATTACGTATCATATAAAAATTTGTAAATTTTACATATTATTTAATTAATACTGTAACACTATGAGTTTTGAAGTTTTAAATTAATTCTATGATTAGTTGATCATTGATGTTAATGTTGTTGTTTTAGAACTTAGAGGGTCTAGGAGTCCTTAATAGGTAAGTTGTCCCTGAATCAGTTTTAGTTAAAGTTAGTTGAGTTAGTTGGAATAAGAGTATATAAAATTTTTCTTAAGATGTGAACTTCATAAATTTATTTTTTTTAAGGAAAACTAAGAGAAGCTAGAGAGAAAGTCTCTAGAACTTAGGAAAACCCTTTTCAATTCTTCATTCCCTTATTCATCTTCTACTCCTCCTACAACTAATTGAGTGGGTAGATTGTTGATTCAAAGCTCGTGGAGCCAAGAATCTCGAGTCTTAGGTCGTGCAAAATCTTCTTCTTATCCTTTCTTTTGTTTGGATCAACTATAGGTAAGGAAAGCTTGTGATTCGTTGATTTTTTTTCTTCTTGTAGTTGATGGTCTCTGTTGAATTCTTCTTTTGATTTTTGTTTTTAGATTGAAATTTGAAAAGAAAGAATGATTTTGTTGAGTTAAGGTTTTTGTTGAGTTTTGAAGGAAAATTGATGATTCTTGATTGAGAGTGGATGCATGTTGTAATTGATGATGGAATTGTGTTTCTCATGTTTCTTATATGTAGTTTACTTTGTTGCATGTAAATTTGGACATAGTTTCAAGTAAATTGGGTAAGAATTTAGTTTCTTCTTAGTGCAAAAACTAATAGTACATTAGGCATGCCTTCAAGGCACCAAGCATAGTTTCAACTAGTGGGTTATGTCCTATTCACGCCAGGTGCAGGATTGGTGGCACTAGACATGAGGAGAGAGAATCTTCTAAAGTTTAAATCACATCGGGTGCCAAAGGAGTGGTTTTAGACATGGATCAAGTTGAGACCCTCTACTTGATTGGGGTCAAGTATGGGTTTTGCCATAACAAGTGTGAGAGTGGGAGACTCTTTGCCTCAGCCACGTCAAGCATGAATAGTTTGGCATCAGGCAAGGGTGAGATAGGAAACACCCTGTCTCAATGGCGCTAAGCATCCAAGGGATGGGGCCAGACGCAAGTTGCATGATTTTAAAGTGATGTTTAAGTTGTTTTATGATTAATAGATGATGATTAAGCTGTATGTTGAAGATGATATAATGATAGTTCATTATGTTTCAAGTTGATATACTATATGGTGATATTTATGTTGTTAAGTTATAAGTTGATAAATGATTAGGTTGTTAAATTGTATGTTGCTATAGTTGTTTTACTTCAACACCTAAGTTGAAACCCTTCAATAAGTAAGATGGCTTCTGAATGGGTAGTTGTTTTTAAGTTGTCTCTTCTAGGTTTTATGTGGTATTTGTATATAGGCAAAGCCAAGCATACATGTATAAAGAGACCAAGCGAGTAAAGTACAATGTTTGCGACTTAGTCCCCAACTAAGTATAAGAAGGGCATAGTATTTAGAGGCTAGTCGATGGACTAATCTTATAGGTGATTTAGTGTTGCAAGTTAATATCATGGACGACTAATACCCAAACTATTCTATCCTGACAAAGTACTTGACTTCTTAATTTAAGTAGCGAAACTTAAGAAATCAAAATAAGTTGTTAAACGGGTTTTTTGAGAGATCTAAAGTTGTTTATACCTAATTGCGATTAGTAAAACATTGTAGTTCGGTAGAGTTTAGCCACTTACACTACTCACCTTTGTCGTAAAAGATTTTCATAGTTGATATGTGTGACGATGCATTACTTGTTTATTGTTGTCTATGTTGATAATGTTATTATGTTGAAGTTGTTAAGATGTGTGTAGTGTAAGTTGCATGTATTGTAATTGGTGATGAGTTGAAGTTATGTTGAGTATAAGACTATTATTACTTAACTTGTTTATGTTGTTGCTTCATGAAGTTGTATATGTTGTTTCCTTTTCATAAGTTTACCTTTACTTATTTTTCTTGTAGTTAGAACTACAATAGTCATACTTAATATGAGAGCATGACAGAATTAACAGGTGAGCTTGTGTAGTCTAGTGAAGGGTCATGCTTGTGATAGTCCAATTTTAATATAAATGCATGACCGACGATTAGGTTTATTTTTACATACAATGATATAGTTGATGTATTTGTATATATGTATAAGGTATATATCTAACCTTATAAGAAAATTTATATTTTCTCGTTAATATCATAAACTATTTCAAGTATTTTGTCATATATATGTATGATAAACTTATATTAGTTAATTTTGTTTAATGTTTATGTTGTATAATTACTGAATTATAGTAAATGTAAATACATATGAGATCATTATAAATATCATAATAATTTTATAGTAGTAAAAATTTGTGAGAGGAAATGTACCGGAAAGTGCTTTTGTGGTCCTCTTAAAGATATGTGATTTAAAAAATATTGGTATTGAGAGAAAAAAATTCTCAATATCATTACAATCACTCAATCATTTCCGGACTGCGTTGAAACCAGCGTTATCAAAACCGAATTAAACACGAGGAGCCCACCGATTAAATTATGAACTGACACTTGTTAAAGCCGATTGAACATGGTGATCAAAAATTACTATCATGCTTCTTAAAAGATTGATAGTTCTATACAAAACAAAACAGAACATAGCAGAAAAGAAAATAAAAATGCAGAGAAAGGGATAGAAGGAAACAGGAAAAAAAAAAAAAAAAAAGAAGACACCAGTATGAATCTGACTGAATACTTCATGTGTTTGACACAACCCAGAACCAGAACAAATTAAATCTGTGCAATTGAGATCCAAAATTTATAATTCTCTGTAAGATACAAAAGAGAAGAAAAAAGCTCTTATTAGTATTATTCGCTACATGAAAACCTCTACCACATCTCGGATCAAAATTTTTCCTATGGATACACCACCAAGGGGTCTTAATTTTCATTCACATGGTACAATAACCTTATATGATGTGAACTCAAAGTATGATAACATAAATTAACTAAACGTCAAAGTGCCACAATCCCAGTTGAGAACATATGATCCCTTGTGTAAGGTGAACTTGACAACTCCACAGACCTAGAAGCTTCTGATCTACACCGTTCTTTACGTTCATCCTTCATTATCTGCCTTGAACGACACTCGTTACTACAAAAAGCTTTCTCCCCTCTGCACAACCCAAATCAAAATTAGCCCCAATCCCATAATTAAAATATAAAAAAAATGATCAAATTTCGAGCTAGAAAGAGTTTCAATTTCCAAGTACCTATACATGTATATGTCTTTGCCGTTAAGATTCTTTCGGCACAAGTGGCACGAGCTGAGAAAATCCGATGTGGGGTACGACGGTCCATGAGCAACAACGTTGTTGGCGGTGTTATTATTGGTAATATTATAGTACCCTTGTGTTAGAATTCGACCGTCACCGCCATCATAATAAACCTTAGTGATGGTTTTGTTAGGAACATGGTAAGTGACATAGGTGTAATCCTCGGAGCTTGCAACGGGAATTTGGTGTCGGTTGAAATTGGAAGTGCAAACGGCGTGTTTGGGAAGAACTTCGGGAAGTGATTCCTCGGATTTATGAAGGGCCACCACAATTCCTAGACCAACCCCACCAAGGTCGTAGCTTTTAGGGCCCTTTGGGGATTGCATCTTTAAGTTCATGTCAAAGGGGCTTCTTGGGCTTCCGATGGCGTCGAGGAGTGCGGCGGCGCGGCCGCCGGAGACGAAAAGTTCGGAGATTTTTCCGATGAGTGGCTGCGGCCTCTTCCCCAACATGGTGGTTGTGGAGAATAATGGGGGCGGAGGAGATGGGTGTTTGTTTGTGCCAAAGATGTATTATTATTGTGAAGGGTGAGAGTGTGGTGTCTTTTATAAGACCAACTAGGAAACCATGGTGGATGTTCTAATATAATTCATGGAGTGGTTGGACTAAGCCCCTGGTTTTGTTTGGAACTATGCGGGTGATGATTGCTAGAGATATCTCCAACAACCATTTTTCTTTTTTTTAATTAAGTTTTTTTTTTAATCATGGTTGTTATTGCATAATATTTTTTCATCATTAATTTTTTAATACTCCACTTATCATTTTTATTGAAGTATCTCATTTCAATCATGTTTTATTATATTTTATTTTAGTAATTTATTAAAATTTTCAGAATATTTACGCGTTGTTGTTAGACTATTTACCTATGTTAATTTTGTGTTGGAGATTTCAAATCAAAGATTTACTTTTCTTTTCGAAAACTAGCTATAATTTAAAACTTTTATACACAAATTAAAAACAATAATAAATATATTATTCTTTATAAAATTTACTAAAATAATATATTTTTTAATAAATGTATTATTTTAAGTTGTGTTTGTTAAATAATTTATAAAGGAATACATTAAAGAAAATTAATTAATATTCTATTTAAAAGTGAGAATGTCAATTATTTAAAATTATTTTTTAAATATTAAAATTATCGTAAAATAAAATATTTTATAAGTTTGATTTAGATTCATAATTCACTTTTAAGAGCATTCATTGCTAGTCTATAACATTACCATAACTTGTGATAAGTTTTTGATTAATTTAGACTTATTAAACGTATGGTTATTTTACTAATATGATTACACCTTTAAAAGATGCGTATGTTGTGATTGCTTAAGCATTAATATTATATTAGGGTTAATAAACAAATACTAGTATTATATTAGGGTCACTTGTACGTGGGCCAGTTTTCCAAAAATGTCATTATCAATGATTAAGACATGACATAAAAAAATTATGGCATTAACTTGACATAGGTAAGTGCGTAATTGGGGTAGTTTGATTATTATACAAATGATACGGCAGGAAATGGAGTAGTTTAATTGTTAATTTTGCACACCAAGGTTCATCTTTCATTTACGTTTTCACCATTTCCTTGTAAATAGACAATACATATAGGTGGTGTAAAATTTTATTTATGCAAAAAAAAAAGTGGAAATTAAACTCATCTATAGTCATCTAAATAAATAATTAAAACTGGATTATGTTTCACTTGCGAGTGTATAAATAAAGTTATTGAAAAATTTATATATGATTAAAAGATATTAACTTGATATTGTAAAAAATACATGAAAACTATTTTATATATTATGGTTTTTTTAGGACATCTTATATATTATAAATATGTACTGTCTTAATTCTACTAAATGATAATTATGTTAATAATAAGTACATGGAATATTTAATAAAATTTTTAAATATACATTTTGTTCCTTAAGTTGAATTGTGTAATTTTGGTCTTTGTGTTTTTCAAGCCAAATTAAGTATAATTAAGAAAAAGATTATTTTTTGTTCATAATTTAATTTATAATTTGAAATGTGTGTTTTTTTTTTATATAATTTGCATAATTGTAAATTATGAATTAATTAAATATTATATAATAAAAGAATTTTTTGGTCAAAATAAATTAAAAAGATTAATTTGTTTTTAGTCATAATTTCTCCTGAAAATCTTTTGGTTAGTATTTTCTTCTACTTTTGAAGTATTTTATTTTATTCTTTGTGAGATATATAAATATGATGACAATCCTTTTGAATGTCAAATGATAGTTGGTGTCACAATTATATTTTAATTGTAGAAGAATATAACGATTATTTCAATATAATTTTTAAATAATTATATATAAATAAGTTATAAAAATTATCGTAACACTATAAGTAGGACAAATTATCTATTAAGTTTCTTAAATTATAATCAAATCATAAAATTAATTTGATTTTTTTATGTCAAAATATTAAGCATAAAACGAATTGATATATATATATATAACACATTTTTTGGTCAAAATAAAATGAAAAAAGTTATTATTTTGCCATAAATTTCTTAATGTATAACTTAATATAAAAATAATAATTTTTGGTCAAAGTAAATTAAAAAGAATAACTTTTTTTCAAAGTCACTTAAAAATAATAATTAACTTTTGGTCATAATTTGCTGTCAAAAAAACTTTTAGTCATGAATATTTATTTAAAAATCATATATAAGAAAATCAGTGAATTAAATTAAATAATTATTATTAAAAAAAATCACACATATTATTTGTAATTGTGAGTAGTACAAATTCCCTCCCCCGTGAGTAATTCCTTAAGCCTGGCAATAATTCGGGGATAAATAAAATTTTGAAAAGCATACTTTTGGGATTTTCAATTAAGTGTCTTTGTTCTCTCAAAAGGAAAAATAAAAATAAAAATCTTAACCATTGGATGAAGCAGGACGCGTCCTCTGTTTAAGTAATATGCAAGGGCAATGATTGATTCCAGAACTAGTGGAATGGGTTGTGTTGTGACTAGTTGATTTGGTCTTAAATTTAATAAGATTTTTTATTTATTTATGTTTGTCTCCAAAATCTAAATTCCAAAACTTTGATAATATAGTTTAGACTTAAATATATTTTTAATTTCTATAAAATTGATAATTTTAATTGTGATTTCTTTTAAAAAATTATTTTTTTATTTTTCTAAAATTTATAAATATTATTTCTATTCTTGTAAAATAAATAAATTTTGATTTTAATTTTTATAAAATATTTTTTTAATATTTTTTATCTTTCTAAAATTTAAATTAATTATTTTTAGTCCCTGATAATCATTTTAAGGTGGATAAATAACTTTTATTTTAAAAATTTATGAATTTTTTAGAGATATTAAATATTAATATAATATTAATAATGGTTGTAGGTAACACTTAAGATGGTTACTTAACTTTTTAATAAATAAAAAGTAGTTAAAAATGATAACATAAAAATAAAAATTAAAAATAACAGTTTTAATTTTATAAGAATGAAAAACATAAAAAAAAATTACAGAGACTAAAATCAAAACTTGTTAATTTTATAGGGATGAAAACATATTTAAACCTATAGTTTAATTAAAATTAAATTTAAAATATGAAGAAATTGAGATTAATTCAAGTTGAGGTATTTAGCATATATGATAATAATATAAATAAATAACATTAATTATTTGACTTAAATATTATAATATAATTGACTATTTAATTCAATTTTAACTTGAATGTGACAAAAACATTATTGAAGGTAATTACTATGTTGAGAGTGACAATGATTAAAAGATTCATTAGTATTTTTTTTAAGAGGAAATTAGCCGTTGATGTATAGATGGAGTAAATGAAACATAGAGATGAACAAAAACAAAATAATAGATGCAATATGAAAAAAAAAAAAACAGATAGGAAAATAAATAAGAACAGATAAAAGATAAAGTTAATGTATGGTAATATTAACTCTTTTTTCGAATATCAAATGGAAGTGGCTATAAAAAAAATTAATTGAATCCAGTTTTTTTTTTGTTTTTTTTATACTTATATTGAATTTAGTTATATCGATGAAAATAATAATAATTAATGATAGAGAGATGAAAATGAGAAAGAGAGAAAAAGTTAAAATATAAACTTTAAATCAAAATTTGTTTTAATTTGTCTTAATAAGTAATTTAAAAATATAGATTACATGTAGAATAATTTGACTTGTCAAAATGTTAACCATTTGTCATAAGTACCAACACATTAGTTGGTTTAGTTTAATCTAACTCACATACTATAAGAGTTATGAAAATGTTGGTTTATCTTTGTGAGTTGATTTATCTAACTATTTAACTCGCATATTAAGGTAAACTAATGTAACATGTGTTAACTCATTTTTTTTTTTTTTTAAGTTTCTTTTCATAATTTTTATCATTAGACTATGTTTTTCAATTTTATATTCTTGTATTTTTTAATTTTTTAAAATAGACTAGCTAATCCACCTAAACCTAATACACAAAACTATCCAAGATAGATCAAGTTGGATTGTGTACTTTAGCATCACTAAATTTAGTAGTAAGTCATATTTAAAACACCAATAAGTTTTTTTTTTTTTTTTTGAATAATACTAGTGTCTACTAAAAAAAAAATTAAGTGTTGCAAAAATAATTGTTTGAGGTGGTTAGATTTCAATTCCTCAAAGGGTCGTGTTACTTATAGTTAACAAATTCTTTTAAAGTATGTTGTTCAAGTTATGAAGATTTTGAGGAAAGGTGCCAATAGAGGTGTGGAAAAAATAGCAAGTGTTAATGCACTAAAGATATAAAGCACTTAAAGAGAAGTATTTGGAGAATACCATGTCATATGAAAGTTACCAACATAGTCGAAGTGTGTTTGTTTTTCCGTTTAGGCATCGAAACCACGTGTAGTTTTTTTTTGAAACGTTGCACCTCTTGTTTGGGAATTCATCTTCACATGAAGTTAAACTATATTCTTTTGTAAACATCCGTTGCTTTCAAAGCAACACTTACGATGCTTTCCCTTTGAACTTCAATGGTTGATAAAAGCAAATTACCTCGCTGGCCCATTTTTCTTTCATTTCCAACAGTATTCTATCTTGTACTTTATTCATTCTATAATTTACAAGCATTTGCTTTTTTAATAATCAAAAAAGTTATTAAAAATAAGCTTCACTAATAATATTAATACCAATATAAAACAATAACAACAAACTTTTTTTATTTTATCAATTCAAATATACTAAAAGATAATAAAATAAACAATATTAAAATTACTTCACAATATAAAATTCATACTCACTTTAATAGTTATTAATATAAAAATATTTTTTCATAATATTATTCAAACAACTTTCACTTTGATAAAAGTACTTTTAAAATAAATGTATCTAAAATAAATTAAGTTATATTAAATTTACTTTTAGCTAAACTTAAGTTTACAAGTTCAAATTAATTTAATTTTAATAGTTGTGATCCAAATACACACAAATCCTTTCTAGTCAAGATAGATGTTAGAATCTTTGTAATATCCTCTATCTCACATACTTAGATTTAGAAATATTAATGAAACAAAAGAATCTTGCTTGAATAAA